TTAAGGATCCTTCCATATCTCTGTATCTGCTTTGTGTACACCATCTCCACGCCCCACCCCAGTAGCTCGTTTCTGCTCCTGGCTTTTATGTTGTTCCTGGGGATCTGAACCCAGGTCCTCATGCTTGTATAGCAAGCACATTGCCTACTGAGCCATCCCTTCAGCCCCATAGTCACTTTTCAACAGCCACATGTGAGTTAGAAGCTACCATGTTAGATAGCACCAAAATGAAACAGTTTCACCAAGGCAGAATGTTCTGTTGGACAAGGTAGTTTAGAATAGGAAATGACAGATTCTTATTCAAATCATGGTTCTCCCCTACTTATTATTCAACCTTAAACAGGTTACTTTTCCTATCTAAATTTCAGCTTCTTTACCAATGAAATAAATGTAATATTAATTCTACTTCTGTATTTTCCTGTGCAAATTAAATATATAAGTACTGATTAAATGCATAAAGCCCTGCGATGAGTAAACATCTAAGATGTGGAAGCCGTTATTTTCCCCCAATGTTTGATTTATTTTTTCTTGAAGAGGGGAAACACCGTGTTTATGAGCTTAAAGGTAATAACTGCAAGACATTGCTGGACTGATTTCCAGCTAGACAAATGCAAGGCAGAAAGAAAATCCAAGTTTGTTAGTCTGGTATATTTTTTATGTGTCTTCCTGAGAAACATTATAAAATTTGTTTTACTTCTCTTCTGTCAGGAAGTAGCCCTGGCTTTGTTAGAAGCGTGGTTTGTAATAACTGTACCCACCCCAGATGGCTCCTGAAATCTCTTTGAAATGCCATCTGTCAGGCGTGTGTCCAGCCGGCAGCCTGTCATTCTGCTACAAGAAAAGAAGAGGCGGGCCTCCCTGCGTCCTTTCTCCCTAGCATCCTCTGAATGGAGCTTGGGAAGTTGGCCCAGACCCAGCATGGGTTGCTCAGACCATCCCTGGGAGTAACCCTCTTGCTCTCCTAAAGCCTGGACAGGTTTTGTCTGGGTAATAAGCCCTGTGGGTGCAGTGGGTGGAGATACCCGCCTCTCTGTCTCTCCCTACAGCTGATTTATTTACATAGGAAGACAGTGTCTCTGCTAGTTTCACTTTTCCTATAAAATGTTTTTGAAGTTCTTGATCATTTTGAATCATTTCAGGAAATTAAGACTCAGGGGTGACTGTTGTCTTTAAAGTACATCTAGCAAATTGGATGTGAAAACAGGATAGAAAAGAAATGGCACGAGTAAGCTGGCTCCAGGAGAGAAAAGACAGCACTGTCTGGTCTGGGAAGACTTTAAGACACAAGGAATCTTTTGTTTGGTTTTATTTTCTCCTCAGATGTTTTTGAATGGATTAGGTTGAAGGAATTTGAGGATTGCCCTAGGAACAGATTTAGGGCAGATCCTATCACAGCACGGTTCAAAGAGATTCTATTCTTGCCCTACACTGGGATTTCCCAGGATGATGTAACCTGTTGGTGTTTTACAAGTATCCTGCTGAACAGCTTTTTCACTTGGCTACAAAACTTCACCCTCCTTTGCTACTGCTTGTCTGTCTCCTACTGCATAGCTGATTCCAAATCTGCCTCCTATTCTGGCTTCTAAAAAGTAGAAGGTCTTTATGTTCAGCCCACACTTCTTGGCTTCTTTTGTTTACACTCGCCTTAGATTTTCTCTTTCCATCTTTTGCCTTCAAATGCCCCTGGCTTGCTGATAACTGATCCCTCCTAAGTTTCTGAATCACCCTCCACCCTGCCCTTCAGATTTGCCCATCCTCCAGCACTCTGCACCAAGGTATATAATCTCAAACTTCACATGAGCAAGGTGAACTTTTAGCCCTTTCCCCTTGCAATAATTTATTCCATGCTTTCATTCTCTGTAAGTGGCATAACCCACTTGTTCATGTAGAAATGTTTAAAAAAAAAATTAGTCTTGTTGGGTGTGGTGGTGTGCACCTTTAATCCCAGCCCTCGGGAGGCAGAGGCAGGTGGATCTCTGTGAGATCGAGGCCACTGTGGTTCACTTTGTGGCTTCCAGGTAGGCTGTGACTACGAGACCCTATCACAAAACAACCACCACCAACAACAAAAAATTTAGTCTTTATTCATCTATCTATAGTAAATCAAATCTACCAGCAAGTTATGTTCTGTCTTAAAATGTAGACCGAGTAATTGTGATCATTCTGATGGGTTAAGAAGTTATTTAAAGAGACACTAGTGTTATCAGACTACTGAAACAATAGACCCCAAAGAATTAAAATTTCCCCTGAAATCTCATGGAGAAAGAGAGAACCTGAAGTCCTGTTGCCATCCAAAAGAGGAAATCTCCAAAAAGAGATTGCACAGTACTGGCAATTTATTGGATCACCTTATAACACAGACCACAGCTGACAGACTCTGTAATGGGTCAGTGATGGACAGGACCATGCCTTGAACAGAACTGCTTAGTTATACATACTTCTTGTCCTTCACTTAAACCTAAACCTCATGTCAGTACCAGAGATGAACTTGGAGGTTTCTAAACCTCTTTATATTTGCCCTTCCCAATATTACTAGATTGAATTCTCTCCCCCGCTCCCTCCGCCCCTCCCTTCCTCCCTCCTCCCTTCCTTCCTTTTACCTACTTATCTCTTCTTTAATTGGCATATTGAAGATAGGTGACCAAATTAGCTTGTTGGGACTTCTAAGCCCATGTTTCACCCTAACAACTGTGATAACAGAATGATGCGATGAGCTGGAACTGGAGTTACAGACAGTCGTTAGTCGCCATTTGGGTGCTGGGAATTGAACCTGGGTCCTCTGCAAAAGCAGCCAGTGCTCTTAACCACTGAGCCATCTCTCCAGCCCCTTATTTATCAGTGTTTTCCCAGTAGCTTTAATTAGTGCTTAGCATGCATTAAGACCTCAGAAAAAAAATTTTTTGAATACCAAGGAAATAAATTTTTTTAACTTTTATTGAGAATTTCATACATGCATATAAGGTATTTTGATCAAATCCATGCCCACGCTTTCCCTTCCAACATCTCCCATATCTCCCCTAAGAAAATATTTTAAAATAAATATTTGAACTCCATAATGACATATATACATACATGTATACGTGTATATGTATTAATATAATTGCAGATTGTTGTTGTGGGATTGGAAGATTAAGAGTCTATCAGTTCATTTAAGTCTGACAGTAACATAAATATAATGCTCACTAACAATCATTGACTTCAGTTATTATTTCATTAGACATATACACCAAGCCTTTGCTGTAAGTACTTTGGTGTTAGTTCTGTTTTACAAAAAAAAAAAAAAATGATTGAGAAGGGATAGGAATTAAGGAACATGGCCAACCTGTCCCCTGGGGAGCCAGCCATGAACCTGTCCTTCCCACTGAGACCACTGCTCTCCAGCAGTGTGGGGTGCGCTTTTTTCTCTAGTAAAACTGCGTGCTGGCATTTGAGTTCCAGATTGTGTGTGTGTCTGTCTGTCTGTGTGTTTATTTTGCCTGGTTAGGGATGGAGTCCAGGACACTGCATGTTAAGCAAGCATTTTAACACTGGTCCTGTCCTATGACACTTGAGATGGAAGATGGCAAACTACCCTCATCCACCAGGGGTAGAAACATTTAGCAAAGAGTTGTAGGGATAGACTTGGGGTAGGACACAGCAGCCTCTGCCAAAAGCTGTCTACTGAGCCTAAGAATCTGCCATTTTGTGAAAAAGATGCGGCTCTCTTTTAAGACATTGAGATTTCAGGTATTTTAAAAATTGAATGCATTGAGAAAAATATTCAGCCTAGGAAAAATATGCAGCAATTCTTGAGGTTTTTGGCCTTAGGAAATTATGGCTCTGCACATGGTCTTTTACACAGGCACAGGATCAGAGACTGTACACTGACTGGTGCTGGGTGCATTAGAACTGCTGGAGAACTGCTGGTCATATATAGTTAGTTAACTGCTTTAAAATTGCAAAGAGAGAGTTTTAGGAAGAGGGAAAAAAGCCCTGCTTATTATACCGGAAAACCTTAAATCACCACCACTGGTGATGATGCCTTGTAAACTCAGCTCTGGATCTTAGCCCCTAATTGAGATACAGCATCAGAAATCATTTTGTATTGCTGGTTTTGTTTTTCAAAACATCACAGGCTCCCAGTACACACCACGTAATTGTGTCTTCATTTATTTTCATTTCTTGGTTTATGTGTGAACCACATTCTACTTTTGTTTCCCCCACTTTTGGCTGACACTGGGCTGAAATAATAGCTTTGTAGCTCAGTACCTTAGCAGGATGATTTAAATCCTATCACTGGTCTGCATCATTTCATAAGAGAATTTGATACATTGATTAGCCATTGAGAGCATGAGTAAATTAATTCAGGGAAGAGTTTTTCTTCCAAACACGGTGTCCTTTCTCTATAAGCAGAATTCATGGGTGGCCTCTTTTTACCAAACATATTAATTACATGGAAAGCAGCAGCATTTTAATCTCTAGGAGATATCCAACCAAAGATCTTGGGCAATCACATTTCTACAGTGATGTGTTTATGCAATGGGTATCATTTTCTTCAAAGGGCTTATTACATAGGAACTTGCCGGATGTATTGAAGAGCACAAGGATTTCGAGGCCTGTGATAAAAATATAAACCCCTTAGGCTCTGAGCTTAGAGTGGTAAGTTTGTAGTATTTGCAAGAGTCCTAAAAGCTGTTGATTGTGAATGCTGTCTCTGATATTTAATTCACCTCTTCATTTGCTGCATTAAAAAAAAAAAAAAAAAAAAAAAAAACTTGGTAAAAGTGTCTCTAGATTACCTGGCTGGGATATGTTTCCTCTTTCTCTTGCTGGAAAGAGGAAGTGAGGATACTGTCCTGTTAGAACAAAACTGCTGTTTCTGGGTCCTGGTCTGGACAGGCAAGTAGACAGAGTTTTAGGCAGGCCAGCTCACTGAACAGGTTTGCTTAGTTAACCCTGGGGATGGAGCTCCTGTCCTAGTGGACTGATGGCATCCTGTACCTTTGTCTTGTCTGCTGCAGGCACAACCCGATCTCCAAGAGAAGGAGAAGTGCCTGGCGTGGATTACAGCTTTCTGACTGTGAAGGAGTTCTTGGACCTCGAGCAGAGCGGGACTCTTTTGGAAGTTGGCACCTATGAAGGTGAGCTGCTCTACTGCCCTGTGGCCACAGGAAGGCATCTCCTGGGTGTCCCCAGGGGCCCCAAGTGATCAGACAGAAGTGTGTTACACTTTGGGGAAGTCTAAACAAAGAAGAGATTTCAGTTTACCTTAATGTGGTTCATTCTAACAAGATACTGGAATGGCTTGGAAGAGCTCTTTGCAAGTAGCTTTTCTCCAAGTTTTTTACTTAAGTATGTATTTTGTGTTTTAATGTGGACCCTTGTAACATTTCACAGAATAATAGTTAATCACAAAAAATGACTTTACAGGAAGTGTTTTAGTCTTGAAGAAATGGAATTTTATTTTTACTGCTAGTTTTTTTTAACTTATATTTACATAGCTTATACAGAAAATATTTGAAAAGCACTCAAAGAGTACCGCCTTCCTTTAGCAATCTCCCAGCTGCCTGATTTTCAATTCAGCATTACAAGCATTGTCACTGATACCTGGTAGCTCCTGATTTCTCTACTGAAGTTTGTGCATCAACATGCATGCATGTATACTACACCTCTCTGTGCATTCATACCTGTTGCTGTTTTACACAGAGGGAGCATGTACTGTTTGGTACTGTGTTCTTTTAATTTCTCATTATATCTTAATAGGTCTTTACTCCTCATGTCTTTCTCTTTCTCAAATGACTGTAATTTTTTTCTGTGTGACTGTATCATTAGTTTCCTTCCTCTAGGTAAACATTGTGGGTTTTTTTTTTTTAATGACACTATTAAATAGCTTAGACATTAGCTGTATCTAAGAGATTCCATAAATGAAATTCTATGTGAAAAACCACATAGGAGTTGTCATTTATTTAATGTGTTTTCTATCTGTGGATTTTTACATAGCTGATTTTTAGATGTTTTCATTTTTCAACTGACATTTGTTTACAACTAACATTGCATTTACAGAGCTAAGTGTGATATTTCATTACATTCATGTGTGTGTAATGATTGGATCAGGACAGTTGACACACACTTGTCATTCCAGGACTAAGTTCCATGTTAGCCTGGGCTCTGAGTAATAGCCATCAGTTCAAACGCTGGCCATTTGTTTGTGTTAGGGATGTTCAGACTCCCTTCTGCTGGCTATTTGAAGTAGTCAGGAATTGCTGACAACAGTAGTTGCTCGGTTGTGCTGTAGAGCAGTGGAGTTTTCTCCTAGCTCACTGCATCCATGTTCCTGCTAACCATTGACTGTTCCTCCATCCCTGACACTCTTCCTGGCCTCAAGTTGCCACCAGACTGCTCTCCTACGACGTAATGATTTTAGCTTGCACATACAGGTGAGAACATGAGGTGTTTGTCCTTCTATTCCAGACTTGTTTCACTTAGCTTAATGTCCTCCATGTTCATCCATGTTGACCAATGGTAGGTTTTATTTATTTATTTATTTATTTATTTATTTGAGACAGAGTATCATTTAACCCAGGCTAGCCTCAGACTGTGTAGCTGAGTATGACCTTGAGCTTTCTATTCTTCTGCATCCACCTCTGGAGTGCTAGGATTACTCCACCCCTGATCTACACAGTGTTGGAAAATGAATCCAGAGTTTGATATTTCATACTTGTTAGGCAGATACTCTACCAACTGAGCTACATCCTCGGGCTCAGTTTTTATTAATTTTTTTGTGGTTGAATAATATTCCATTGTGTATATAAATTATGTTTTTTAAATGTACTCTTCTTTTGAGCCACACTCAATGATGCTCAGTAGAATTGCTGGATCATATAGTAGTTCTCGTTCTAGTTTTCTAAGGAACTTATGGACTGTAGGAATTGACAGTCGTTACAGAAGTTCTCCTTCCTCTGCAGCTTTGCTGTACATGTTACTTTTGATCTTTTTGATAATAGCATTTGTGCCTGTAATGAGTATTTGTTGACCATTTATAGCTTGACTGTTCTTTGGAGCGTTGCTGTTTGAGACAGAATAGCATAGTATGATATAATGAACTAGCTCAAATCATTAATTTGGTCATAGTTATGTTTTATAGATCTTTTTACAAATGCTTAAAATTTATGTTTATTGTATAATCATAAAGAAATGTCAAACAGGGTCAAAAAGAAAAGGTAAATAGAAAGATGATTATTTTATTAAGGCCAATATGGCTTTGATGTGATAATAGCCAGTGACTAAAAGTCAAATAATGATCATGAACCTTTGGCATATGGCTTCTGATTCCATATTCTTTGAAAGAGAACAAGCATTTTCTTGGTACCTATTGTGCATTTCTAAATAATAAATATACCTTGAACGGTTTGGAGGTTATTTGGAGGAGAGGATTATTTAGAGGAGAGGGAGATTTTTGTTTGAGACTTGTCTAACTATGTAGCTCAGGCTAGCATCAAACTCATCTTCCTATCTCACCGTCTCAAGTCCCAAACTATAGGTGTGTGCCACAGTGGCAATGTTTAAAGGTCAACCAAATCTTTACTCGTGAGCCTAGGAATATTACTTAGTAGTATTACTAATTATTGTTAGCTTAGTCACCTGGAAGTGAATATGGCTGGATACACCCTGTGCTGGGCAGAGATGCTGAAGGTGCAGTGAGGAAGAAAAGGAGTTAAGGGGGACACAGAGGACTTCTTGTCTATGTGACTCTGATTAGCAGTGACCTCTTTGGTTAGCAAACAGTGAATTGTCTTTATCTGAAATCAGTTATTATGCCAGTCTGGGAGCTTGGGTCCCCAAATATACACCCCATGCATTTACATTTTTTAGAGAGGAACAGCTAAAGAATTTGAGGTAAAATGGAGTAACTTACAATTTAGACAGAAGTTTGGTTTGGGAAAAGAAAAAAAAAGCTTATGCCCATGTTTGTGTGACAGATTATGTATAGGTAGCACAGGTTCTTTTTCTTATTTGCTATTGTTACTGTGACTTTTTCTGGGAATGCTGAGGCCAAGGGGAATAAGAAAGGTTCTCAGGGCCGTGTGAGAGGCTAGATCAGGAGCCATACCCAGCCAGTTTGGCTTTCAGATCCAGGCGTTTTTCCCAAGAATGCCCTGGATGCAACAAATACCCCATTAGAATTGCTTTCTAACTTCCTGGTGTACAGCAATACGGAAGTAAATATTTTTCAGAAAATGCCTGATTGTCTTAAAGTGTGTTTTTATGAATGCTAGTTGGTTATTTTGAAGTTGAAATTTTCTTATGCTCCAAATCAACCCTTTCCACTTTTCATATATTTGATTATGCTTGCTCTTCAACCTTTGACCTTTTACTGGTTCAATTTCACATCCATATGAGATGGCTGATAACTTTTTGGAACCAACTAGACTATATTATATTGTCTCATACAAGCTGAAAGTAGATGGAATTGTTATTAAATGCTAGATACTATTCTACTGTTAATGCTCCTGAGATTCCCCAATGGCCTTCATCTTGTCCTGCTGTTCCTTGACCATCTCTTGGTGGTAACTACCATCTGTTGGGGGACACTAAGGAGCAGACAGTACTCACTGTCCCACTCCTGAGTTTGAGCCTCAACTCTGTGATCTGGAACTATGTCCCCTTCAGAAAGTTACTTTGTGCTCTGTCTCCCATTTTCCCTTGGTAAGATGAGGCTAATCATAGTGCTTCCTTGTAGGTAGGTCTAAATGAGACAGTAATTAGAAAGGGATCATCAGGGCAGTTGTGAACCACCTGATGTGGGTGCTGGGAACTGAACTCTGGTCCTCTGGAAGAGCAGCAGGTGCTCTTAACTGCTGAGCCATCTCTCCAGCCCCCAAACAGTTGAATTTTTAAATCAAATTTTATGCAAACTCATTTAAATTTAAGTAGCCACCATGGTTGTTGGCCACTGTGTTTATTTCAGTGTCATTTGGAATAAAAGATTCTTCAAGGAAAAGTGAAGCCCCACAGAAGATCCTCTCCCTCCTCACCCACCAACTTCATGCAGCAAATCCTTCTTGAGCCAAGCTTCATTTTAAAAGCACCATTTTATGTGTATGAATGTATTGCTTGCATGTGCACCCATGTTGTTCAGTGCCTGAGGTTAGAGGAGGGCATCGGATCCCCTGGAACTAGAGTTCAGGACAGTTGTTACCACCATGTGGGTGCTGGGAATCAAACCTGGGTCTTCTGCAAGAGCAGCCAGTGCTCTTAATCACTGACCCATCTCTTCAGCCCCCCAGCCGCCCAGCACAATTTTGCATCCTCCCAAGGAAATGGTTACAGCTATCTTTTGTGGAAAAAATATGTCCATTTTATGTAACAGGACAAGGAAAGCAAGTCAGTAAGACCTCAGAGCAGGAGTGCTTCCAGATTTGCTTTTAGGTTAGTCCTGTGTTCGCATGGGAGGGTTGTAGAATCTGAAACCAGGAAATGCAGTGTAGTTTCTCTGTGTACATGACAGAACAGGGGTACACAGGGAAATTGGCCTAAGAGACCCTACAGATAACTGAGGACAAACTGTGGTCATGTGTGTATTACCCAGGGTGTCTTAGGTCTAACATGCCATTATTTCCCCACTGCCTACAAGCTGATTCTCCTTCCTCAGCTTTCATGATTTGTTTGCACATTTCATTCATTCATTTATTAAATAATATGCTAAGCAGATTCATCACTGTGTTTGTGGTTCTTTAACTGTCTAGTGGACAAGATGCATTCAAATAAGCCAGCAAATATTCAAATTAAATGTGTTGAAATCTGTAAAGGAGATCGGCAAATTTCATGAGTTTGGCATCTGGAAAAGCTTCCCCTGTGGAAGTGGTAATTGAGATGAGACTTGGTGGGGGAGCTAGTTAGGTTGCTAAATGCAGCAGTTGAAAACACAGACTAGGGTTGAGGAAATGGCTCATGCCCTGCAAGCCTGATAGCCTGAATTCAGACATCCAGAACCCATGTAGAGCCAAACCCGATAACACAAACCCACAGAAGAGCACTGTAATGCACATGTCTATAATCCCAGTACTCCTAGGCCTCGTTTGCCTCCAGATAGGAGACAGAGACAGGAGAATCCTAGATAGCTCATGGGCCAGGTAGCCTG